GTTCTATAAAATCTTGACATCTATAAACCGGTCCTATATAATCTTGACATAATATCGACATATATAAACCTGTACTATATATTCTTGACATATTTACACCTGTCCTATAAAATCTTTACATATATAAACTGGTCCTATATAATCTTGACATAATATCGACATATATAAACCTGTCCCATATATTCTTGACATATTTACACCTGTCCTATATATTCTTGACATATTTACACCTGCCTTAGAACAATTGACATATATAGCTTGTCCTATAAAATCTTGACATATATAAACCGGTCCTATATAATCTTGACATAATATCGACATATATAAACCTGTACTATATATTCTTGACGTATTTCCCCCACCTGAGATTAATCAGCGCTGAATTATTTACATTTTACAAAGAGGCTACAGAGTTACTTACTTAACTTCTCACAAGTGGGTAAGACGTCATACTTCACCCATAATCCATTGCTGGGAAATCAAGATGGTGGACTACGTGGTACTGATGAAAAGCAGGATGAAAAGTTAAATATCTAGAGAATGAAACGTGACATAACAAAACTGTAAATTGCATTTCCTACATTTGAAGAGCTCTTTCATCTGGGAGCATTATGTTGTTAGGCTGGAAATTTCCTTTAAAATCTATGGCATTGTTATTCTATTGAATGTTAATATATGATTCAGTTTTTTAAATAAAATGTCATCTGGTTCAGCTACAAAACGAGTCAGTGTTTATTTATATATTTATTCTATACAAGCGCCACCATTGTTAGAACTCAGAATTCCCCTTTCCAGGAAATAGTGCACGGGCAAGATGGCCTCATTCTTCAAAGTGCCTGACCATTATATCCATACGCAGTGCGAGTGGAAGAATTACACTGACCTACTTTAGAGTGTTATCAATTACACATTGTAATGAAAGAAATGTTTATTAGTATGTCATATCGTTTTTCAAAATGACCATAATTGATATAATAACCTGTCAATGTTGACCTATTTTTTGACCTGCGAATGTATACAATTTTTAAGACCTGATTACCACGCCTTAAATTTCTGATAATATACCAACATGGCGACCATAGGTGATGATACTAAGCTTGAAGTCGGAAACTGAAGTAACTATTCTGTGCAATCGCCGTCAGCAATAGTTCTAACATCCTGAGCTATCACCTTAGGAACACAGTTCTATAATCAGAAGCAGTGCATACTAACCTAGCTACCTATTTTTCGGAGATTTGGTCCTGAAACCATTTCCATAGACTCCGCCAGGTCGAAGCAACCGTGAACTTGTGCAGTTCGCCATCAGCTGTTTAGTTCGTAGTCTTGATAGTACCCGTTGTTAATAATGGCGAATCCTATAGGAGAGGTAAGTTCAGAATATTTGATTTATGGCGTGAGTTGTTTTTGGCTTCAAACGTAAAATGTAGCACTTTCATTAAAGGTACATTTTGCCAACAAAATAGTAAATACAGTTCTGGAGTGCTTGAAGTTAGGTTAGAATTTGGTTTTGACTTCTTGAGTTGAGCATCAACCACACGTACAGTTCCTTGCCATTTTATATTAACTACCGGTAGTACCGTTATACAAATGATCTTCGTTGCTAACCATATCATAATATTGTAATAACACCCTATTAACGCAGACGTTGTAAGTGTGTAACCGTATGGCTTGTTGAAATAAAATTTGGGCTTTGGGTTATATGAGGGGTGGAGTTGTTGGGGTAACTGGGTCAGATAAATACTGTAATTTTGAATAAATGCTTACACTTACCGAATTTATGATCTAATTTGTGATTCCAGCACCTGTACTGCTCACTCTGTTTATGGCTTAATTGCATTTCTGTTGAGTTAACATGGCCTGAATTATCAAATTGATTTAATTTGGCAAGAGGCACTGCATAATAGATATAGAAGGGATTCCTGTGAAATGTCTGGGATAATACATGTGATTGAAGAACATTCTTAGACTATCCGAGGTGGAACACATTACCTAAAGTTGTGTTATAGATAAAACATAGGTGAAAGTCGTTTTAATTTTTAGTAACCTAAGCAAAAATCTAATCTGAGAATTATGAGGTTCACAAGTTATACTGATTTAAGACTAACATTCTGCATCATTTAAGTTACTTAATATCTTCACTACAATAAATCCCGTCATGATTGCAGTTTGAATCCTGCCTCGGGTATGTGCTAAACAAGGGTTTTTCTAAACCGAGGAACAGAGGCGCAGTGCTCTGATACTCTCAGCTGGTACCCTCTTACCGAATTGCCGATTGAACTTTCAAGTCATAAATATATTTCTTGAGTCACGCACTTCCGTGCTGTCATACAACATGAAATCTTTCTCAAGTATATTTTTCTCTGTGAAAACTTCCTAGCAACACCAGCTGAAAATGTGTCTGGACACCAAATACACTAAAATTTCTCCAAAAAAAATATTTCAATGGCGATAGATACATCGTTACAAAAAGCCCAGAAACCTTGCTCTATTT